AAGAGAGCATAATGAAACCCACCAAACACTGTTTGAAAAAGCAGGGGAAGAAGGGAGTGAGGGGGGTGGGAATATAATGGAATTTGTTCCATATATATTGCATGCATGTATGGAATTATCACCGTGAAACTCCCTTGTATTATTAATTTATGCTAATTTAAAAATAAGGGCTGAGGGCTGGAGGTGTGGCTCAAGCAGTACAGTGCCTCTTTTGCAAGCATGAAGCCCTGAGTCCAAACCCCAGTCCCACCAAAAAAAAAAAAGAAAATAATAACAAGGACTGGCATTGTGGCTCAAGTGGTAGGGTGCCTGCCTAGGAAGTGCGATGCCCTGAATTCAAATTTTCTAGTACTGTAGGAAAAGTTTTTTTGTTTTTTTTTTTTAAAAGAAGGAAATCTTTTCCTACATTGAGCTCATAAAGATATTCCTTATTTTCTTCTCTTAGTTTTATAATTTTGCATTTTTCATTTAAGTCATTAATCTAAATCGGATTTTTTTGTGTAGAGTGTGAGTTAGGAATATAATTTCATTTTTTTCTATGTGTATTTACCAATTGTCTATATTTAATTTATTGAAATATAAGTTTTCCTTTCCTCACTCTTCTGCAGTACTTGCATAAGTCAGGTTTCTATCTATTTGGCCCTTTTTTGGTCCATTGGTTTGTTTGTCCCTGTGCTGATACCACATTGCTTTAATTACTCTGGCTATGAAATCAGTAGTCATATTTGGAAAATCAAGTTCCTCTATCTTTTTAAAAGGAAAATTAGCTTTATGCTCTTTCATATACAATTTAGAATTAGCTTTTCATAGTCCATGACGAACCGTGTTAGGAAATTGATTAAAGTTGTTTTGGATTTGGGGGTGATCTGTTTGAGAATCAATTACTACATGAGCTGGAGGCACGGCTCCAGTGGTACAGCGCTTGCCTCAATCCCCAGCACCGACAAAAAAACCCAACCCACACACACACACACACACACACACACACACACACAAAACCAAAACAATCAATTACTTGAATCACCTGGGGAAGCTTTTACATTAAAACTGGACACTGTAGGTAGGAATCTTGAAAATAGTGCAAGGAACAGTCTGAAGATCCTTTGATCATCTCTTTCTAATCATACCTACCTATGATCTATCATACCTAGCGTCTTACGCCTATCTTTGCAAAGCAGGGAGGGAGGGAGGGAGAGAACTAGCTAAATGTGAGTAAAAGGTTGGCACTCTGGTCTTCTCAGTCACTATGTTATCTGGTGTACTTTGTGGGGGGAGGACATTTTGTTTGGAATAGTGTAATTGAAAGTAGGGATTGCGAACAGAGAAAGTAAGGAAAGGAATAAATGTGGCTATGTCCCAGAGAAGAAAGGACATTCATTTTGTAACGGCTGAAACTTCTGTTCCTTACGTCTGTTCGACCCTGAAGTTCAAGGAGCTGAGAAGGACTTTAGAGAGAGAGGATGGTGTCTGAGCTGGGGGCCCGCACAGCGGGTGACTTCCACCGTGAGCAAGTACCTGGGGTCTGGGACCGGACTGTGCTGCGGGGATTGGAGAAAAAGGGTTACAAGCATTCCAGGTTCACGGAACAGCTTGTGCAGGAAACAGATAACTGATGCGTTTATAGGAGGCTCGTTCTGAGTAGGAGATTTCGCTGGAAAGACAAGTAGTGGTTCGGTTATGCAAGACCATGAGTGTCTGGTTAAGGACTTTGGACTTTACACTGGGACGGCCAGTGGAAGCTCTGGATCCGAAGTTTGCTTTAGGAAGATCATTGAAGCTGCTGGCGGCAAGGCCAGGGGACCTAGCAGAGCGGTGCTGGGTCAGCGGCGCGACAGCTGCCGTTCCATCTGCAGGGGCGCCCCGGGGGCCGAGCGCCCTCCCCGCCCGAGCTCAGTTGCGCTCGGAGCTCCGCTACTACGCCTGGACGCGCCCGGGTCGGGGCTCGGGGCTCGGCTCGTGCATCTGGACGCGCCCCCGTGTGTGCGTCACGTCCGCCGCGGCGCGGGGCGCATAGCGCTCAGGAGGGGCGCTGTGGAGGCTTTGGCGCGTGCGCCACGGGGCGGCGGCTGGCGGTTAAAGCAGAGGGGCCTGGGGGACATTTGCGTGTAAACCCGCACGCTTTAGCGCCTGTTGTGCTGTCGTCTTACTCTGCACGCTCGTAGGTGTTTCGTTTTGTCCCAAGAGATAAAGGCAAACGGTTCAGAGAGGCTCGTAGTGCTCCCTGACCTTAGCGCTGTCTTCCCTCACGTGAGAAGCATGAGTCTGCACTGCACTTTCCCTCCAGCTGCTTGCGCCCCAGCCTCCCATTCTGGTGACAACCTGTCCTGGCTCCTAAGCTAGACCAGCTCCAGGCTGTGATCCATGTTTCTAGTGCTTGTTCCCCTCTGTAGTTAAATCAGAGATTCCTAGTTGAAGGGGACGTTGGAGATCAAGATTTCCAATCAGTTTTCTGACATCCTGAATGAATGAATGCACACCCTCGAGGATCACCTGTTTTCTGGTATCAATTTATGTAGTCTTCCTGAAAGTTTCCTCCAATGCACTCTGATTCCTTCAGAAATACTGCTGGCGCACAGGTCCTGAGGATACGATGATGAACTAGATAGACAAGACTGTTGATCTCTTGGCGTTTACATTCTAGTGTAACAATTAAAAATCCGATGATCCAGTGCTAACAAAGAAATCTACAGGACTTATGGTAGAAACATACAGATGGAAACTATTTAGACTGAGCAGAGAAAGCTTCTTGGAGGTGGTGAACAACTAACTAGGAGCTCTGGGTTGAGAAAAGATCGAAGCAGGAAAGAAGGTGATTTCTAGGAATAGACAGAAGGCCAGAGTGACTGCAGTGTGGTGAGCCATGGTTGGAGAGGGCGAGAAAACGTCGAGAATGTAAATAGGAGCCAGATGCTCGGCTTTGTAGACTATGGTAAGAAGTTTGAAACGTATTCTAAGAGCAATGAGAAGCCAATGAATAGTTTTCTGCAGAGGGCTGATCTTGGTTCAATCTTGTAGAACCGCAGGAGCCAGTCATTTTCGTTATCACAGTCCTTTAAACATTAGAAGATAGATAGCTGGCATGTTCTTCTCTAAAACCCCTTTCATGCCCCCAACTGCTTTCCAAACTACGGTTCCTCTACTGCTTCTTACACAGAGGATTTATGAATGGATTTCAAAATGACATTCTGAACATGTAAGTGTGGGTAGTTTCTGTTGTTGTTGAAATGTAAGGTTTGTTGTATATTTTAAAATGAAGGAATTTGCCCGTGCCTGTGGCTCACGCCTGTAAATCTAGCTACTCAGGAGTTTCGCTGTTCAAAGCCAGCCCTGGGCAAATAGTTCGCAAGTCCCCATCCCAAAAAACCCATCATAAAAAAGGGCTGGTGAAGTGGGTCAAGCGGTAAGAGTGCCTGCTTAGCAAACATGAGGCCCTGAGTTCAAAACCCCAGTGCCACCAAAAAATAAATAAAATGAAGGAATTTAAGATTCCATTCAGACTTTCAAAGAGGTAGAGTTTGAGAACCATGGCTCAAACCTTACCATCTGCGTGACTGGTTAAGGTGCCCCGGAATAGCGAGATACAATGTCAACTTCAACCCAGGCTAGTTCTCTGAACCGCCTTGGCACTTGTGAAGTGAAACAAGAGAATCGCTACGAACATTAAATGAGGTAGTACTCTGAAAGCGTCTAACGATGAACCATGAGGTGTGCCACTACCAACATCTGCCTTCCTGGGATGGAGGGACGATTTATAGATACTGCTGCTTTAGCATTCCACAAACACTAAATGCCTTTTCGGGGGGAGAGCCCCTGTTTACAAAGATCTGCCCTCCAGGAGTTAATTATCTAGTCGGAAGCCTCCACAGTTAAAACAAAACAAAACATTCATAAAGTGCTGTGGATATGGGAACTGCAGAGGAGGTCTCAACTTCTATTGGAGGTAAATGGTTATTGAGTTCATATTTGAGGTGGGTCCGAACAGAGTGGATCTAACACACACACACAAATCAATACCATACGTACACACTTCATTCCTGATGATATGGAAAGACCGACTGGAAACATGGCAATTACTCCTACTATCCGACAAATACTGAACAGTAGCTTTCGTGAGAGGGAACCTATTTTGGGCAGTCTGTTTAGTAGACACTGCACGCTCTGGGCATTCCTTATCTTCTTGTTGGCGAACAAAGTACACACGCGCGCGCGCGCGCGCTAACAGACCCACACGCCCCTTTCTGAAACCAAAGGCCCAGGATCTCCAGAAGAGGGGTGCATCTCTGGCGGCCGGACCACACAATGGGGACCGATTTACCGTAGCTCGCCATACCCCTTCCCCTGCAGGCCCCACTCTGTTCGGATTCGCTTTCTTGGGTCCTCCGTCCCCCTCCCCCGCTGCAGCTCGGGAGAGCGCAGCCACCTCTTCGCTGCGCGCCCTCCCTCTCGGGTGCGTCCCTCCTCCTTCCCGGGGAGCCGGAAAACCCGGAGAGAACTCGCCTGGCCTGGCGGCGCATGCTCAGTAGCGAGCAGGTTCAGTTCGCTAATAGGAAGCTCCAGTGCTACACCGGCGTCGGCGGCGCCGCGGCGGCAGCTCGGGGCAGCGATCCCCCAACAACGACCTCGGGCCCTTCTCCTCCCCCGCCGGACCCCGGCCCAGCTGCGTCCCGCCCGGAGGCTCGCGCGCTCGGGAGGCCCCTACGGGACGAGCGGGCGCCGCGGCCGGAGCGCCCTCCACACTCCCTCCCCCAGCCGCCCGCTCCGCGGCGGGCCAGGCCCGGCCGGCTCGGGAGCGCAACCCGGTGGCGGCGGCGGCGGCCGCGGCGGAGGGCGGCTCGGGGAGGGCGGGGGCTGCCCCGGGGCGGTGGTGCGGGATGCCGCCGCCGCCGCCGCTGGGCTACGTTCGCTCCCCGCGGCTGGTTCCTGTGTCGGGTTGGTGGCCGGGTGCGGGCCTCGCCCCCCAGCCTCCTCGCCGGGGCTAGCCCGGCCGCGCTGCGCCCCGTGGGGGCCGGGCCGTCCGGTGGGGCCGCGGCCCTGTTCCGCGCTGCGAGCTCACCCTTTCGCGGCTCCCGGGCCCGGCCGCCGCCGCCCCTCTCCCCGCCCAGAGGCGCCCCGGGGGCACCATGCAGGCGCAGCAGCTGCCGTACGAGTTTTTCAGCGAGGAGAACGCGCCCAAGTGGCGGGGGCTGCTGGTGCCTGCACTGAAAAAGGTGAGGAGCGCGCGGAGCCCCGCTTCTCCGGCTACGGTCCCCCGGCGCGGGGGCTGGGCGAGGGCTGGGAGGCGGGGCGCGCAGGGCCCTGAGTCGTCCTGATCTCGTCGCCCCTCCGAAGGGACCGCGCACCCTGAGAGGTCTCCCCCACCCTCGGCTAGCTGTGGGTGTTGACATTCCCCCAGTGCCTGTGGAAAGGAAGGCCGCAGGAAGCCGGGGAGAGTTTGTCCGAACAATCCCAGCACCGAGAGGTTAATGCCCTGCCCCTTGGTTCCGAGACTACAGTTGGAGGAACCTCGGTTTTCAGTGGAGGTCAAAGCAGGCCACCTTTCCGCCTTCTCGGTCTCACGGAGCTGCTGTCAGCCTCCCGGTTTTAGGTGTCCAGCATGCTTGTTTTACTGGCTCGGGAATGCTCTGGCCATAATGCTTGCTCTAAGTAATTGCGAGCCTGCCAGCCAGCAGGAACCTGGCCTGCTTTGCTCGCCCTCAGTAATAACTCTGTTCTCTTCACAAACCGGGGTGGTGCTCATGCCCCTATTTTCAGATTGGTCTTTTTTTTTTTGGAGAGTTTAAGAATCTTGCTACGGTCGTTTGGTTTGCCGTTTCGAATTTTTAACCTTTGTATGTTACTTTCAAGTTTGTCAATTGTTAACTGAAGTTACGGAAATGTTGCTACGTTGTAAAAGCTTCTAAGGCAACAATGTGACAGTAAATACTGTATGGAAACATTTGAAACAGATAATGTTCAAATGGATTTAAAAACAACCAGAATAATTTTGTTCTCTTTTTCCATAGAGATTGCTCTACATTTTTTGAGTGTAAGCAACTTTTATTTTTCTTTTATTTTACCGTTTTTACATTTATTTACATGTGTATACATTGTGCCACCTCCCCCGTGCTTTACTCTTAATAGTGTTTTAAAATCTCTATTTCTTGTTGCTCAAATAATGTTCACGCTATCTGGTTAAAATGTAGTTTTACTCCTACTGAGAATTGAGATCTTGGTGTCTTTTTCATTCTAAACATTTATACTTTTCCAGAATGTCTTAAAAGGTGTCTGATACTTCTCAAAGCCCAGCAACTTTTACTTTCCGTTTTACCCTGTCCTCCCTCTCCCCCTTTCCTACCTTATAGTAGAAACTGGTTTTTAGGGGAATTTGCTCTTATATTTCAGATTTAAGTTACTGATTTTCTCTTCCCCAAGCATCTCACCAGTCACAAATAAAAGATGCCATAAGCCTTACATACTTTATTCATTAGAAATCCCATCAGGCTTCACTCTATCCATTTACTTTTGCTTTACTTGCAAGCTTGACTTCTTAGTTTGTGATAGAAGTGGAATAGTGTGTCTCAGTGATGCTAGAAGCTGGTATCCTGACAGGGCAAGGGGAGACAGAAAAATTGTTTTAAAATATATGAAAAAGCATTACCAGTTTGGGCTCAAACAGTTCCTATCCCCAGTGAACCACAAAGATACCAGTCGAATGCCCTTTGAAGTAGTGACAAAAGTATTGTAGGGGTTAGTAGATTTGGGCTGACTGCCACAGGAGTGGCCCTTGCTGAAATCTGTCCACAGATACATTTTGTTTGACACAGTTTTTTTTTAAATATAGTTGCCAATACTTAACAATGGGAAATATTACATAAAAATCTGAATTTTCAGCTTTCCTTGAAAAATAGGAAAATCTTTCCACGTAGGGCCCACATTCAAGCAAGACAGTAAACTGTGCTGAAGTTGAATAAATGTCTCCTTTTTATGACAGGGCATGTATCTCTAATTTACCACAATCCCAATACTGTTCTTGGCTTATTTAAATAATCCAGCTTTTTACTTTAATTAAGCAGAGATACCCCCGCAAAAGTGATGGGAGGTGAAAGTGCATACAATCTACCTGATGTGTAAGGTTCTTCTATTTATTTTAAAATCCACCATCAGTGATTTTTAAGACACCCAAGACAAGGTTGAACGTATATTTTGTGTCTCAAAACCTGTGTTGTCACCCATCTGCTGGGTACTTCATGGGGGCGTCTCCCTATCTTGAGCTCTTCCTTCAGATTTATTAGACTACTTGTAGGTAGAGTGGCCAACTTGTGCTCTTTTATCTGAGCCACTTTGGACATGCTGTTCCTTTCATCTAGAATGCCCGTCTTTGCCTGGCCAAACACTGTTCATCCTTTGGGATGTACACAACTTCAGAGCTATTCTGATCTCCTCAGGGCTGAGTTGGATATTACTCCTTTGTTTTCTTTTAGCACCCTATCCTAACTGTTAGCAGTGAATTTTAAGTTCCACTTTGCTTGTCTGCCCCTCTTCCCATACAACTAGAATAGAAATGTCTTACCCTCATTTTATTCCCTATGCATGACTGTCTGATACCTACCTTTTAGGCAATCAATTTGAATAAATGGGTAAGGAATACCTAAACTAAAGTTATCACATACCCCTCCTCCACCTATCAGTTTAAAATTTCTTCTTGATTAAAAGCTTTAGTATTTTGACTGGTTCAAAACCTTGGAGTCATCTCTGACTCTCTCTCTCTCTGCATTACTGTCCCCATTCAGGCAAAACCTGTATGTTCATTCCCTTCTCACATGTTCTTCTACCCCTCCCCAGCTGCTCTGAGTCCCCTTCCCAGATTAATGTGATAGCCTCTTAACTGTGCTTGCCTTTACCCATCTTCTAGATTTCAGAAGTTATATTGTACTTCTGAACCTGTCACGCTTTTGTTCAGAATTGTTAATGTCTTTGAACTTAATGTAAGATGAAGTGCACAGTGTTTAGCATGGAGTTTATAGTGGTTGATGATCTGGCTTCATCCTGATCTTCTGACTGGATTCCCTACCACAGTCTTTGCTTCAGCCAGACAAGACTGCCACTTTTCCTGAATATATTCAAAATGTCCCATTGTATCTTTCTCACTCCATCTATCAGTTTAAGCTCTATCTTATCACACAAAATATCATGCTTGCCTCAGAGGAAGTATTGCCCTTAGCACTAAGGATAAAAAGGTAAATGATGTAATCAGAAAAGACTAAGTGAGAACATGATTTGAGGTGGTAGGGGGTGAGTCTGGAAAGAAGATTAGTTTATAGGTGATTTTTTTTTTTTGTACATTAAGCTGAAGAGTTTGAATTTTGTCTGAAAGATGTAAAGCCACAACAGATCTGAATTTTAGAAAATTCACTTTGACCACAGAATGGAAATTGACTTGAAGTAAAGAGAAAAGTTGGAAAGGTAGTTTACTAGTCCAGTTAAGAAGTGATGTGTGTTTGAACTAGGATGGAAATGTGGAGATGGATTGTATTTGAGAGGTGTTTAAAAGGCAGAGTAGACAGCATCTAGTACCTTACTGGGTGATTGGGGAATGTTAAAGAAGCAGGAAGAGTCTTGTTTCAGGTTTGAGTGCTTTAGTTAGGACAGAGTGTAGGAGAAGCCTTTGGGGTGGAGAGAAGAGTGGCATGATGAGGTGGTTTTTTTGGACAAATTGATTTAAAAGTCCCTTTAGGTAATCCAGGTGGACTTTTCCAACTGGCAATTGGTTTTTGATATGTGATGAAGCAAATTTGGAGCTTCTAGGTTTGTAAGTATAAATGAAGCCAGTATTTGTATAAAGACTTACATGTGAATGTTCTTGGCAGGTCTATTTAGCCCCAAACTAGAAATAATCCAAATGTCCATCAACAAGTGAATGAATAAACCAATTGTGACATAGCCATACAGAGGGATAAAAAGGGATGAAATATTGATATACCTGGTAACATGGCTGAACCTCAAATTCAGCCAAAAAAAAAAAAAAAAAAAAACCAAACCATATACTGTATAATTCTGTTTATATAAAATTCTAGAAAATGCTGACTAATGTTGATCATTGGTTTTAAAAACAAGCTTTTATGTTGACTTATCTTGATTATGCCAATGGTTTCAGGCATGTCAACATATACTAAAATTGGTCAGATTATTTAGTTAGATGTACAGTTTATGTCAGTTGTATCTCAATGCAGGTGTTAAAAAAAACATGGAGCACCCAGTAAAATGATTAGAGTAAGACCGAAATGGGGCTGGTGTCAGAACTGGGGGAGTGGATTGGAAAAAATGTTTAGGAAGCGAACAAAGGGAAAGCAGTGATCAAAGGAGATGGAGAAGGAAGGAGTAAGGCAGAAGGAATGAGGCCCTAGTGTCTGAGAAGCTGAAAGACAAGTTAAGTTTCAAGACAAGAGTTCAGGCTATCCGAAAGTCAAAGTACCTGAAAAGTATTAGATTTGACAGCCAAGGGGCCATTGGTTTCTTATATCAGAGCAGTTTTAGTGTGAGGATAGAAAATGGAGGAACAAGAAAAAATGTAAGATCAGGGAACACATGACCTTTTTCTTTTTCAGATTATTTTTCTAGAAGTTTGGAAATGAAGAGGCAAGAAAAGCATTCAAGGTTGGGAAAGACATTTGTGTAATTTATTTGAAGGTGACAGAACCTTGTTAAGAGCCTTTGGGGCAGGAGGTGGTAGAGAATGCAAGTGAAAGTACTAACCAAAGAGAGCAATGTAGTTTACTTTGAACTGCTTTTCAGATACAATTTCAAATGCTTCATTTGTGTTCCCACTTAATTCTCATAGGATACTACTATCACTTCCAGTTACAGGGTTGAAAACTGAGATTTGGAAAGGCTAATGTTCCCAACTAATTTTATTACAGAGTTTGCATTTTTAAACATATGGCATGCTACTCGCAGGGGTGGTGACATCCTTTTCTCCAAGATTGGAATGAAAGTGATAAAGTTGGGTTTGATTGGGGGGGAGAGCAGAAAGTTTATGCTTGGTATCCTTTATTTTCATGATGAAGTGAAAGGCAGATCTGTTATATAAAGTAAGGAGGGGAATCAGTAAGGAGTTTAAGAAGAATGATGAAATTTTGAATTTGATGCTGTGTGTTGGAGGTGGAGCCAACCAGTGATTTAGAATGGGATTACTGAGTAGTGTGCTTGTGGAGACCATAATTTTGGAGTA